CCAACCAACCAACCAACCAACCAACCAACCAACCAACCAACCAACCAACCAACCAACCAACCAACCAACCAACCAACCAACCAACCAACCAACCAACCAACCTACCAACAAACCAATCAACAAACAAACAAACCCCAAAAGAAGAACAAAACTGAACGAGGGCTGCTGTATTTAAAGACTTTATGGTTGTGAAGCAAACTGAGATAATTCTGTGCTGTACTGGTAGACAAGTGCCACTCGCTGTAACATAATAAAATTTTTCTCCACAACTTTTATTACACCCAAGAAAGTCATCGATCAATTTCGTAAGCTACAAAATTCGAAGTAGTGGACTCATTTATTCAAAGTGATTATGCTTTCAGGGTAGAGCCCATAGTTTTTTGAACTAGGCGTTTTACGGTCGAGGGAATGGCCAAACTAAAAACATTTATTACGGAAGGCGCTTTGCAGACTTGTCTGCACAAAACGGGCTTAACATCGAGCAGTGTAGACAGTATTTCAACAGTACTCGAAAACAGGTCAGATTCGGATGCAGCGGACCATAGTAAAGTAGTGTGTATCACCAAACTGTTTTTGCAAATTTGATTTTAGATGCCATAAACAATGAACTTCCAAGAATATATCATATAAAACAAACTTGGAAAAATGTAGGCTACTTCGTAAAAACGAACTTGGAAAAATTCATTTCTGAAAACAGACTTTGAAAAAATGCACTTCACTTTTGTGAAATACATACTTGATTGCACTACAGGGCTTAAGTTTCTCAGCAGAGATGTTTAAGTTCGTCCCCATTTTCTCAAACATTTCTGAAGAAAACGCGTCACAGCTGCAGGCCCGCAAAGAATTGTGGGTTTCTTACTGTCTTAACCATTGCATGTACATTTAGTGTGCATGTTATCGTTCAAATAGACTCTCCCCAGGAAGCGCTCGACAAAGAAAACGCCGTGCACTTGCCCTATTCAGGCCCCATAAGAGTGGGGGGTAGAAGTTAAAAGTTAAAACCGATTTCAGCAAAGACAAATTTTGATGTGCCCTTTGCAGGGCAAGCCACAGGTGCAGGGATGAACACTTCGTGAACGCGCTGACAAGATGAAGACAGTAATGTTGTAAAGCATCCCTAGGGTTCATGCTGTAAATAGAATCCATTGCCAGTGCACGATTTGCATGGAGTGCTTGGCAAGAAAGACACAACAATAACCGAGTTAAGCACACGATACTGCCATTTCCTAAATGACAACTCCGCAACTCCCCAAATGCTGCTTGTACCAAGCCATTTGTACATTGTTTCATCCCGTTCAAGAGAGGAAATATTGCCACAAGTACGCTGTCAAAATATGCGAAGCCCCGTAATAACTCTCTAGACTCAGCTGTAGAATTCTCTCAAAATCAGCTACGTCTCAACACAGCCTTTAATTTCGTGATACCATAATTCAGTAGCCTTCCCCAGGAGAACTACGGGGACTTTTCCTTCTGTGCTATTTGTTTAGCAAAATGGAAATGATCTCCTACACTATTTTCCCCTCTTCCAATTCCCTTTCTCCCCATCCAATTATTTCCCCATGTCTGATTTTCAACTAGGATCAAACTCAGTTTAGGAATGTTAGAGACTGGAAAAGTGCGGGTCAGACGAGAAAACCAGGAGGTGCACATCATGGGCAGCGCAGGGGGAGGGGTTGCACCACCACCACCCACCGGGTGGAGAGGGGAAAAGAAATCAAAGCTAAAGAGAAAAAGCGATTAAAGAGGATGGAAACCATCAAAGCTTGCTTTAAAAACCTTTCCAGCGTTGATGGTTTACAGGTTCTTTACTAAGTTCACCCAGAAAAAAGGCTTTACCCCCTTGGGGTAAAATCCTGGCGACTCCCATAGGGTGAACTCAAGTTACCAACAAGAATTCCAGCAGTCAAAGCAAACGAAAAAAATCCCTTCACTTAGCAACAAGGGAGGTCCGCGAAAGCAGGGCTTAGGGAAATAGGGGGCGAGGGAACCTATACACAATCATAAAAGAGAGAAACCTTTAAAACTCGAAGAATAATAATAAACACAAAATCAACGACAACGAGAATGACACCATCAACAACAACAATAATAATAACAACGTTAACAGCATACAAAACAAAACAAAACAAAACCCCCAACAAGTCCAAACCTAGACTACAGTCTGAAAACTCCCGGGTCAGATTGACCCAGAATTGGGTCTCATTCGCCATGACTCTTTTCTAGGTCAAATTATGACCCAGAAAGGGTCAAATTTGATCCGAAAGGGGGTTTACATTTTGATCCAGAAAAGGGTCACGCCGAATGGGACCCAATTCTGGGTCAATCTGACCCGGGAGTTTTTATAGTGTATTGTTATTCCTAACACATCCCCCAGATGTCTGAAAAGAATTTCTGAGATTTCGTTGTAACAGTGACCAACATAAGGGGGGTCTATCCGTCCCAAATCTTGCTTTAAATGTACGTCTTGGCGGAGCTCACAGTATCAAACGGTCATTTCAAAATGGACTCATCCCTGGCGCCAAACCTGTGGCTTTTACGTTTCCACATGGGCCGCTACCAGGGTTTCTAAAGTAACTGTATCAGCAAATCAGTTGTCACCTGATTTGTATAGAAAAGTAGTTTAAAGTATAGACCAATAGGGCTTTCTTGCCATTAGGACACGAATTGAGATCGCTTCTATGTTGCAGAAAACAGAAGTGCTGAAGAGGGTCTTAGGTTTCTTTGTTTTGGAGAAATACTTAGAAAAATACGAAAAAATGCCTCTTAGATTCGAATGAGGAATCACAATTTCATATGATGTTGAAAGAGTATATTTTTGTGATGGATGGACGAATTCAGTTCTTTGAATTTTGATAAGCTAGCAGTCATCCTGTGAAAATGTTAGCGGTCTCAAAAGTTGGCTCTTGCGTGGATGTTTGTGAACATGTGACTCCGTTTTGTCACCTAGTACAAGAAACAAAAACGCTGCGAGCACATTAATGGACACAGTAAGCCGTTTTACTTTCAAGTTTCAGGACTCCCTTATTTCGAAATCCAGTCTCAATCTGCTTTGGGACAACTTGGCTACTGCCAAACTAGCTACAGGCAGAAAAAATTCAGCAGACTCGTTAAGGTAGGAACCACTATTCCACAGAATACACTCGTAAGTGAAATCACCTCGCAAAACAGACGGCTTTTGGACCCCGGTGCCAACGGCATACATTGCATTAGCCTATATCTCTTTTCATACCGTTCTCAACAACGCCTGAATTTACACCTGAGCATTTGGACAAGAAGAGAGTGGCTCTGTAGAATTCACGAGCTTTTTTGTAACTGGAGGTTTCCCTCGTTGATGCAGACGCGTGACCAGCATTCCATGGGCTCGCTTGTCTCATGTGCCCGTGATATCGTGTTGGGTATCACAGTTGTGACGTTCGTGCGACTCGCAGTTACCAGCGTACGATAGCACTGTGGTCTGGCCAGCACGCAACCCAGTCGTCGTCCCAGATTCCACGGCTAGGGGAAACTGTGCTCACTTTGAACCTACGTGCAAGCACACAGCCACAGGTAGGTTCAGTTTGCGTCGAGGGCCCTTAGCCAGCGTGAGGATTGTGTTGAACGCTCGAGAGAAACGTTAGAGCTAACCAATGCGTATTTTCTTCTGCAATGGTAAGCATTAAATCACTTTTGTATTTCTGTTTGATACAGGATGTGCTGGGTATTTATGATTACTTTTATTACCGTGAAATCAGCTTTGTCTCCGTGTTAACTTTCAACTTAAGAGGAGCTTCCTCCATTGAACAGGGCGCCACTAAATAATAAATGGTATCCCCATTAAAACGAAAGAAAAAATGAAAGGGGAATTACTCCATAACTTCTCCGCGAATCCCAACCAAACACCCAAGAAAAATCACACTGAACTTGGTCTTTGGAATATGCACTTCTCTGAAATTTGACTCGTTAAAATTAAACGTCGAAACTATCAGAGCTATCCTCTGAAAAAAGTCTTGTTCACTTTTCAGGTTTAAAAACTGTTCCACCGTCTTTTACGGGTCAAGATTTGTTCCCGGTTCATCGTTGATGAAGTTGCTACACAGTTTTGCCACCGCTATACGTTAATGTCTCAATATCGTCCATTTGCCGAAATTGCACGTTTACCGTTTCATGCATAGTTCCATAATTCTTATGTTTATTTTTAGCCGAAAGATTTGGTCAGTAGTTGTCCGGCAAGTTCCACAAAATGTTTTGCTTTTAATACTATGAATACATGTACAGCTTTAGGCATTGATTATAACCCTGATAGAGCAGGGTTATTGTGGAATTTGGAGCATCCCTAGCCGGGGCGGATTCAGACCCGCCGCCCCGTCCCAAGAACTCGGCTGCCCCATGCCCAATTTTTTTAAAACTTGGCTTGCATGTCAAAACACTCCCTATCAATACAAGTAAGTTTCAACTCATTCTGACTTTATGCTTCAGGTGCGGATTGGGGGGGGGGGTGTCACCCCCCTCACCCGCACAAAAAATAACTAAAGTAAATTTAAAAACAAGATAGCATCCCGCAAATTTTTCGTATATTTGTACGAGGTGAGTGTTACAAATAGGAAACTACTGTCCGCAAAAATGAGACATTAAAAAAGTCTCCAGCCTGACCTCCCACGGAAGAATTCCTTGATCCGCCCATGTGGGTTTGTTGTTGCGGTAGGCCACACGCATGCCAGACGTTGTGCATTCAGCTCAGTAGAGGACAAGTATACATTTTTGACTGACTTGTCTCGGAAAAATGGATATTCAATTTTTCGCAAAGGTGATGTCAAAATGTCTGCAAAGAGTTCTGAATAAAGGTTTATTTACAGATATGTATATAATTCATGCAGCTATACACTTATATGTTGTGATTGTTTGGTGTGATTTTGTTCTGATTAAATGAATTAAAAAGACTGGATACAACGTTCCTAACATTGAGGCCACTACAAACGTGTTTTAGCACGTCTCTTGTTTCCAACTGGCTTCCGTAGAGATGTGCTTACCCTGGACGTTGACGTCATCAGTCACTTGGCTATCGCCTAATAAAACGGGTAAAAATAACCGAGTCTCATAGAGTCGGCAATTAAGAGGTCAGGACGAAAGCGAACCCGTCAAAAGAAACTCGTAGCAGACGTATGCATTTTAGACACTTCACACTGGAGCACGTCTAAAGCTGCAAAATTTATGTCAACGTTGATTCGAAGAACTACACACTTTCTGTCTGCAATCGCCTAGAGTAAAGGCCGCGCCGGTTCATACTTCGCTTGAAAGTGGCGAAAGCGAACGTGAATTCGTGACGTCGGGTCAAATATTCACGTTACGAATTAGCAAAAGCTGAACACGTTTCAATCTGAGCGAAATCTCGTTGCAAATTTTTCGTGACGTCAAATTCGCTGCAAATTTTTCGTGACGTAAAATTTGTTGCAAATTTTTCATGACGTCAAATTCGCTTCGTTTTAGCATTCGCCTGAAGTATGAACCTGCCTTAAGGTTGGATTGTTCGGTGTCAAACCATACCTCTCCCCAGACTACGTGTTTTCTTGTCACGTGACAAGAGTAAAGCAGGAGACGAAAATCAGACCACTAGAAACACGAGTAAAAGCCTGGTTTCCATAATGGTCGTTTGTAACGCAGACGGTCCATAAGACGTGAAGACCCAGACACGAACTGAAGAGACAGTGCGGACGTCATTCTACCCAAAAACTGAAACAAAATGGCGTCTGAAACTCCGTGCCTTTTTTTCCCCGTAAAATACCCTTTTAGATTGACTGTACCGCTTCATGATGCCAAACCTGTACTCCAGTTTCATGCATTTCATTGATGGTCAGCTATTTAAATGGCCGGTTCATTAGGTGTAGGCCTAACATTTGAGCATTTAAGGAGAAAATGAGCGAGAGGGACATCTTTGCAGGCCAATGCCAACGTCGGAATGCACAACATCAAGACAGTAACCATTGTGGGCGTGTCATTTGTTAAGGGGCAAGTTGGTGAGGTCGTAGTTGGCCAGGGGATGAGTTGACATGATTACTATGCAGGATTCAGGTCAGGCTGTGGATCGATTACAAGTTTGAAATTGTGGCTCACTACCCACCGAGTTGTGTGTAATTTCAAACTTCAAAACGCCTAATTCATGTGAAAATGAGCACCACTGCAGTCTTGTTAACAACGTGCGATGCATGATTTTTAACCATGCTTGCCCGTACTGTAGTGGTGGTAAGCCCTGGGGTCGCGTAGTCATGTGGTACTGGGACCGTCTTTTGATAGGACCCAATAGAGCAGCGAGCTTCCGGAACCCTCGCGCGGTCCTCCTGTGGGGATTTTACATTGGGCCGTCATATGTTCGATAATTTTGGAAGAATATAATTCCTAACTGAAACCAATCCATGAAACACTCGTGTTGGAATTTTACCTTTGTCTTCCTCAAGTAATATTTAGGAAAAGTCACATGGAGACGGGTAAAAAACGAATTTTCTTAACGACCTTTCGCGTCCGCCGATATCGTACCTAGCTTTGCATGTTAATACACGTTTGTTTTCACTGCCTGTGCTTACGTAAAAACGAGTTTGTACAACGTTGCAAAGATTTACCTACTTGCAGTCGATGGGTCCAAGATTCCGTTAAGTGAACATCACGCAGTTGTTGTCAGCAAAGATTAGATAAAGGATCAGAATCTTTCGTAATTGAAGTAGAATATTGCTTTCAGTTTATTATTTATTAATTATAAGACTGCGTAAAATATTTTGATATGTTTTTATTTCGGCTTTTACCGACAGACAACCATCAGATTTC